TCAGAGCAACATCTACATCTATGAAAGTAGCATAAAGTATACGCATTGTCTGGCTCGGGGCTCTATGTGGTTCAGCTGTTGGCAGCACGTAATGGCGTGGATTTTATACTCATGGTACGCTCTTTAATTGCATGCGCCCATTAGGCAATGGCTAGCAAAAATATTCAGTGCATAAATCACAATTCAAAATATGCTTGCGAAATGCAAACATGCACTGCATTCCAATAACAGATTCAAGAAATGGGATCATGTGCCAAGTTCCAGTCAAGAGGAAACAGCGTCTGGGGGCAGGCCACGAAAAGATTGCTGAGCACATTTCTCGCCTTGGATTTTGTTTCAAACGACAAGACATCTAAACAAATAGGGAGAGCGAAGAAGTGGAAGAGAGAGGAAGAGGGCGAGGGAGAGGGAGATCGTGCCATGCATGTCGACATTCTGTTATTTTGACTGCTGACGTCAGTGGGTTAGAACAGCCCCAGTCTCCTCGGATGCATAACATGAGCTGTGTGAGAAATGCGAAGAAGAAAGAAAAACTTTTTCGCACGCCGGTCAACCAGCGAGCCAGAATTATCAAAACTTGTGCCCAATTGTATGAGACTCTACTGCTCTGAGGCAATAGTAATTTGGTCGCCCAAAAATACATGCATATATAGTAAGTATATGTACACGCACATACATAACTACATATGTACATACATATGTATGTTTGTACATGCTCGCAGTTGCCCATCAGTGGCCGCCGTTGGCGTGGCTGCTGGTAACGAGATTTTCCCAAAAATTTCATGCGTTCGCTGCAGTTTTTGCGCAACTTGCAGCAAATTAAGTTTGCACGAGCAGCAAGAGCTACAGGAGAGGCGGACAGGGGACAGACGAAGTAGACGGGGATGGGCAGCAGGCAGCAGTCAGCAGGCAGACCAAACAGACCATGGACCGTCCGGCCATTGTTCGTGCTCGCACACGTTGTGGCTGTTGTTGCTGGTGTTGCTGCTGTTGCTGCTGTTGTTGTTGTTGCCGTCATCGTCGTCGACGTCGTCGCCATACTGTTGCCAAAAATGCAATAAAATTAAATGTTTTTGTGTAAAAACTTTATGACTTTGTGTTTATGTTCGTTACACTCTCGTCTTCTACTATATACTCTGCAGGCTTCTCTTGGGCTATGCTGTTTTTAGTTGGCCTGCTTTAGTTCTCTGGCCCGCTGGTCAGCACATGCGGTCCAATTTGTTGCTATTATGAGGGGGCTCTAGCACACATACATACACACATACATACTTGGTGTCTGTGTGGACAGTAATTAAATTTAACTAACATAAATTAAATTTATATGGCCCGTACACACGGTATATTAATACGACATATGTACACGTATTTTCGAAATCCCAATGCGACAAACAATGTCAATCTATCAAGAAGTCCTACAAGTAAGGATACGTGCATCTTGAAATAGTCGGCAAAGTAAATGTTTCAGCAGTTAAGTAAAATTATTACATTGCACGTTTCAGCAGCATGGCGTGCGTGTTACATCATTAAAATCAGATATGAATAAAATATGCTCGTATACTATACAATATTTTTCAGCGAAATCCTTATGTACATATTTTCCAACAGAGTCACGAATACTCGTTTAAACTTACTTTCCCAGCAAATCAACCATCGCCCATCTGCAATCAAACAAAAATGTAATTTGTTTCATATTGTGAAGAAAAACTTTAACCCAATAGGAGAAAAACAAACCCCATTAAAAGCACTGTAAACAGTCATAAAAATATTAAGTTGAAAACAGCAATAAATTTGTTGCTGTACGACTGCCAACAAACACTACTTAGAACAGTAATTAAAATGCGTCGCAAAAGCTGATAAATAATGAAAAAACGCAAAGTAACGGTTGTTTGAATGTCGTAAAATCTTCAAAGTTACAAAAATTTGAAAGCAAGTCTGCTAACTTTTTATTCCCGCATTACATCGTTTCATTTTATACCCTTCACTCGAAGGATGAAACTCTTTATTGATATAATACCTCTCTGTCTGTCTCTATGAAGGGAAAGAATTCGCAATATAAGAGCTAGTATTACCAGATTACCCTGCATTAGATGCTAATAATCCAAGTGACCCATAACATTTCATTTTAGTAGGGAAAACTAAAAAAATCATATCCGAAAATTTTACTACATATACTTGTATGTATATCTATCCAGCGAATGCTGTGGTCGTTGCTACTTTGGCTTCAGTAGTTGTAGTATTTTTAAATCCAAATTTGGCAATAATATCCTTTTAGCCCTTATTTGTCCTTTTGTTATATTCCATCGTTGATCAATCAACTGTTGAGTTATAGCTATTAGTGTAATTTCTACCCAGATTATCCCGTAGTTGTAGCTGATTCCCTTGTTACCAGCACAATGTACTTTTAAAAAGATATCTTAACCAAAAGTCTCATTGACAAAATCCTAGCTGCCTTCGAATCTTCCCAACCCTTCTGTAAAACAGCTTTTAACGATGAACCCTCTAGTAGTGCTGTTTAGGCCCTAAAAATGGCTACAAATGGCAGCACATCCCTCTACTATAGAGAAGAATCAGGGTAGTATTTATTCCCAAATAGCTCTACAACATGCATGGTGAAAAGAAAACAGGACTCTTTAAAAACAACAACAGCTGATTCCCCTAGATCTAAGTGTTATCCCTACAGCGTGGGAATGGGGGGGCGTTCATCACAAGAATGAAATAAGCTTGCACAGCGTACACTTCGAAGGCATCTGTGTTCCTTTTGTGTTTCTAGTTCTTGTAGTCTCTGAGATCTAGGTGTTCATACGGACAGACACGGCTAAGTTCACCCGTCGTGTCACATGCTGATCAACAATATACTTATATACTGGGTGGTTCTGCCTGTTACGTACATTTTTCGCTTTGCACCAGCCTCGTATAATCTAGTTGCTTCCAAATACAGAGTATAATAATATCTCAGAATTGATACTCTGGAACATTAGTATTTTATTCCATATAATCAACTTCAGACTCAATACACTGTCTGCATGGTGGCATTAAAGTTTTGTTTATAAGTTTTAAGTGTCTGTTTGAAGACTCAATTGAGTGGCATCATTTCATTTACTGCAGTCGACTCCGAACAAAGCCAAAATCAATGGCCGCCTGCAGCTGACGAGCGTCTATGGCCATAAATAAAAAACGACGACATCTGAGAGCCTACTGGGCCATGTGAGGCTGCGATCCGGGGCGAAAAGCGCTCGGAAACGGCAACGTCATCGCCATGTGAAAAAATGTATGGCTTGGGCAGGTGAATATTTGGACAGGCGAGTGGGGGGAGGGGGGCGTAGGGTGTGAACAGCAGCTCGATTCGATTGATGCGCGGAGAAAACTTCCGCTGTCGGAAAACTGCTGTGTGCGGCAGCAGTTGAGTTGTCAGGCAAAACAAAAAATTCACGCTTCATGGCATTAACTGAATAAATCATTTAGCTTGTCGATCCCGCTGGAAAGCGCATAAGGTTGGGCAAATAGTTGCGCAACTAAATTCAAAAAACAAATTGTTACGCAAAATTGGCTGAAAAAGAAATCAAAAGCCAGGCAATAGAAACAGCGACCACGTTAGCTTTTAAAAATATGTGAAGGCAGCAATTGTCAATGAATAAAACCTTCTCTTAATCATTTTACTCATAGGTATACAAGTTTGAATATAAATTATCTCCACAATTTGTTTAACCGAAAATATGCCACCACTTTTTATTTGTTTTATCACAGCAACGCCATTGGGGCAAGCTACATGATGCTCCTGGGCAAGGACAACACACCTGTGCCATTTGAGTGCTCGGAAGAAATAGCAAGGTACCAAAAATTACTACAAGAAGTAAGACCGACTTAAGCATTTTGCGGCGTTGGAAATAAAGAATACAGTTTTAGACTGTCTTAAATCTTTTATTTATAGAACTTGTGCAGCATGACAAATCAACAACCTTAGATACACTAAAGCATAGGAAAACAAGTGGAGAAGCTAAAGTCGGGTGTCCTGACTTTGAAATACTCTGTAGCTATGTGCACAATAATTATAGAAATTTTAAGAAATTTAGAAATTGAAAAGAATAAACGAAATTCTAATAATGAAATTTGACCGATTTAGCCTTCTTCGGACTCACGTAATGTATGTATGTCGGCACATATACATAGGAATTTTTAGTGTATCTGTGTGCCTGTCTGTGAGCATGGGTGTCTCTAGCTCTTCTAGTCTCTGAGATCTAAGGTTTATACGAACAAAGTTTGGGATAGTCCCCTATAGGACATAGTTAAGTAAAAGCAGAAAGAACACTTCAACAGCATCGGGCAGAGCTTGGGCAGAGAATACATTTATGGCTATAACTGTCAATTGGTGGCAGATAAGCACTACCTGGATGTAACTGTTGAATACTTGATCTGTCTAGAGCTCAGGGGTACCTGGATACCAAGTTTTGTTATTCTAGCTACTGTACTTGCTGAGATCCTAGCGCTCATGCAAACGACAGACGGACGGATAGATCAATAAATTATATACTCTACGCTCTACTCGAGCCACTCTATCTAAAGCATATACATATATATTTTTAATCAGCATGCCGAGACAAATCGATAGAGACATATCTGTCCATCCGGCTTTCTGAATTAACGTCCAGGCTTGCTGTTTTCCAAGTCCAGGCGTTCTTTCTATGATATAGTTAGATCAGGATATATATGACTTATGGGGTTAGGGATGGGGATAATGCCTTCTACCTATTACACACACAATTTAAGCAACGTTCGGCGCATAATTTAACGCAAACAATGAAACAATGGCGCCCTTGCCAATAGCAATAAATACGTGAAAACAGTGCACGTACTCGTAATAGCCGACAATGTCAAGGTAGAAAAGCCACAGCTAATTTATTTAAAGTTCTTTCATCATTACTCCACCAACAAAAAGTTGTCGAGCATTTACATGACTAGCGAACAGTAGTTGCGACGACTATTATCAAGAATTGAGTGACAGAATGCGACGAGGTAAGATTTATGCCGAATGAAATGTGTATTTTAAATGCATTTTTTAGGCAAATTCAACGAGAAATTTCAAGTGGTCGTGCTGCTGCTCTTTCTGGCCATGCCATCGCTTCAAGTCTTAGGGTTTGAAAATAAATCAGATCAGGCACCAGATAGTGCTGCAGATGACAACAAATCGGTCGAATCGGTGGTTGAGCAACCTATTCCTTGTCCAAAAGTGAATATGATGAAGAACGTTCAGCCGTCCAAGGTACGTCAACTCCATTGTAATTCCATGTAAGACTTATCACCTGGATTCGACTCAACCCAGCTGATGGGCCTTTGGTATGCATATGCGACCACGCCCCTCTCCATTCCGGTTTTCACTCGCCGCTGCTCATCATATAATGTCAGGGATAGTCGTGAGTATGTTGCTGACAGAGTCAGGAGACTCACCTAACTCCATCTCCTTCAAGCCTATTTCAAAACGAACATCCTCTTCACGGACTACAAACATTTTGTGATAACTTATTCCTGCAGGATCGACGACATCACGCAAATGACTGAAAGTAAGTTCAGGAACCATCTGCTCCAAAGATAACATACAAGTATATTCTACACCAAATCTTGTTCAGCGAAAACCCGAATTTTGACGCGCAGTCGAACGCCCCTAAGAAAGTCTTTGGATGAGGCATTGGACGTGCTGAAGGCCAACAATATCGACACATCCAGCTTGAAATGGCTGAGACGCGACGGCTATTGCTTCGAATGGTACCAACTAAAAGTGGAGGTGGGTGTTAGGAAAAAGCAACTGGTTGCGCCCTTCAATCAGCCTGAGGATCTGCGCTAGGAAGCCCGATGACAACATAAATTAATTACATAAATGTTGAATTACTTGAGCATAAATTGCCCACCACTGGGAATGACTTATTGTTTGTGCTTAAGCAAAGGAAAGAAATCGTATAAATTGCAGACATTGAATAATTTGTTATGGCTGCTCGGCCCAATTTCGCCAGCATCCTAATTAGTTTTGGTTTTGCCGTGACTTGACATCTCGACCCACAAATTAATTGCGGGGCTAGTCAAATACTTGTAGTTGCATATGTTCTTACACTCCGCATTCAGCATGACCGCCGCAAAGCACTTATGAAGCCAATGTTGGTCAATGCTGTATGGCCGTAAATGGATGTTACATATGTTACACACTATTGTACATACATACTTGTACACCGCTTTTTAGGGGGCCGGAACGCCTTGGGCTCCACTTCGAGGCGTAGAATTGAAACCTACCATGTGCAGTGGCTGTCTGTGTTGGTTCCAACTAATTGGACATGTCATATGTGTGCTTTTTCTAACCAATTCTTGACTTGGGACCGCGATGTTAGATGTTGTTCAATAGAAAGCAACACTACCATACTCGTGTGTTCTAAAGTTCTATATGGATATATTGCCAAGAACTACTTGTGAATTCTTTCTGCCAACAAACATTGTTCTTTAATTTTGTATTACGTTTTTTGCTATCTTTGAGCAATAAGTAGTGCGAAGTAATACTATTTATTTACAGATTAGATAGATATTCAGTTATATTATTTATTCAAATTACGTGGATGTGTATTTTAATACCAAAGAAGTTGAAAAGCTAAAGTCGATTGTCCCGACTTTGAAATACTCTGTACATATGGGTATTGAATATTAGCAAAATTAAGACAATTGAAAAAAGAACAAATTGTAATATTACAAAACAATTGTTTATCGATTATACCTCCTTGGGTATTCGAACTCACGTAAAAGGTGTATACCAGCTTTTCCAAATTGATCATGGATATGATCAAGAGAAAAATGTGAACAAATCCAACATAGTTCCATTTTAAGGCGAAATAGTGCGCCATAATAATGAATGCTTGGTCGACTTCATATTGCGAACATTTTTTTGCGCCCCCTTCCCCTCTGCCTACGTCCTTGTTTGTGACTCTATGCGTGCCTGTGCGTGTCTATGTGTGTGAATACGTGTGCAGTACAGAGTTAAGCCAAAGCAGCAACAACAACAACAGTTGCGGGCAGCGGGTGGTTACATTTATGGCTATTAATTCTTTTTCAAATTTACATATCATAATGAAACTTGGCTGACGGACAAATAATCACTAACTGCAGATAATTGCCGAATTTGAATTTCAAAAATTCAATAAATTATGGAAAGTTACTAATTGCGGAGAAGTGGACGGAAGCAGGAAATTTCTGAAGATCAGCATTATCGGGGAAGTGGGGGGGCCCAACAAATAAACAAACTGGTAGACGGACTAACAGACAGACATGGATCGACTCGTCTTATCATAGAAATATATATACTTTTGGGGGTCTGCCACTCCTCCTTCTTCTAATATAGGATATGATTATGTACTAACTATATGTAAGTCCCAATTTGGTTTTGATATTTTCGAAAGCCACTGAGATTGGAATACAATAGTTGTGCACCCGAAACCCATTTCAAAAAGCTTAGAGATATATTTTAAATTTGGTTGAAATTAAAATAAATTAGAAATAATATACAAGTATAACACCTGCTTACATGCGTTTATTTATAATTCATCAATTACACCAATTTCCATTTTTTTGTTCTGATCCATAAAAAGAGGCACTTAGACTAGCGGATCTATAACATGTGATCTAAAATAATTTCTTCAGGGTGTTACACAATATTTAACACAAAACAATTGCTGTTTTGGTTGATGCCAAGCTTATGAGTTGATTGTCTTCTTTGATAGCTAACGGAATGAAGAAATTAATTATTAATTAATTATGTAAGTTTGTACATACATATATAAATACGTAGATATATTAATCAACCGTAGCTTCGAACATACTCGTACATTTGCAAGCAATAACAAAAGTTTTTGTTGCGCACGTAATTGGTTTGTTCTTTCGACTGACTGACTGACTGCCTGACTGACTGACTGAGTTTAGACTATTGTTGTTGCTGCTTTTGTTTTTGCCGCTTCGGTTGCCACTACAGTTGATTTGCTGGCATTGTTGTAGTGCATGCTGTGGCTGTTGCTGTCGACTGTCGACTGTCATTGTAGCTATTTGATGGTTAGTACGAGTATGTTTTCGTTTGAGCCGATTTGTCGATCTCGTTGTGTGCTGTAGCTTTTCAGAAGTTTTGTTTCCATTGCATGACGCATTTAGCAATTTCAAGTTCAAATCACTTTTTATGTAATCACGTAATCCGCTCAGCAATACACACGAGCAGACATACCTACTTCGATATTGCCTGTACATGTTTGCATGTGACTGAATAAAGCTTCAGTTTTCGCATGCAGTTTAGATCTGTCAGTCAAACAATTGAATATATCTTTATACCCAGAGAGAGAGAGAGAGAGAAAGAAGCCCTCTTCACAAAAAGCAACAAAATTTCGTTTTGATTTACATATGTATGTACAAACATTTATTATACATACTATAGATATACCTTTTCAAGGGGATCAACTTGCATTGCGATTGCGTCTATTCTTTGCTGTACAGTGTAGAGTAAAGCAAAGCGACAAGCGGATGGACGTAGCAGTCATAACTGGTCCCTTCATACTGATTAAGAATAAGTTAATAATAAGTCACACCGAACTAGTATACCCTTTCACACTAAACTAAAAAATAAAGCAATAATTATTTGAAGAACTTCTTTGTTTTACCCTCTGCTATTGAGCTTTTAGTTTGTTGACTTGTTCCACCAGTTTCGATCCCCATCTCGAAGCCTCTTCAACTTTGGCGCACGTCGCTGTTTTTGTCGCTCGAGTTTCGATTTCGTCTGCGATTCTTTCACGCGACGACGACCGCTTGAGTTATAGAAGGCAAGAAAGAGCAATAACAACGACAATAGCAGCAGCAACAACAACAACAACAACCTCAACAACAAGAACAGTGTCGCGCAGCGAGAATACGACCACAAAAAATGCCATTTATTAATGTGATAATCTAAAGATCAAGGTCTTTCTTCTGCCATTTCAAATAAAATGATGTACCATTTACTCTGCTGCTCTGCGTAGATTTCGTGAAAATAGAAACTAGAATGTGAGCTCTTCGGTAGGTACGAGCTTCATGTTTGATTTCAATGAAATGAGATGAAATGAAATGGGACAACATAGTTGATGAGCGGATAAGCGAACTATATACATAAGTATGTACATATGTATGTACGAGTAGTACGAGTGTGCATACAGGAAGTAGAGCATGTGTAACTGAGCCGTTGATGAGCCCTTGATGAGCCGTCGCGAGAGCGCAGGGAAATGAAAGCTGAGTAACAAAACTGAACCTTAGGCTTTGGCTGCAATCTTCTCTGTTGGTACTTAGATGTAAAACCAGTCAAGGGGCACTTGCAACACAAGTGATGGTAGGATTATGTTCCTAGCTTGTTGTGTATGGAAATCGTCTTAAGCCAAACAATCAGATTCGATGATGCAATGATACTTCGAACGAAACCAAATAAAAAAATCAACACGGCAAATGAATTGAAGCGCAACAGACAAGTGCCCTAGAAGGGTTTCAGGATCAATATGTCGCGCACAAAATCACAAATAAAGAGCCCACAAGGTTCAGTGGGGGCCGGCTCAAAAAGGCGAACTAAGAACACAAAACAACAAAAAAACAAAAAACCAAAAAAAAAAACAACCGAAAACAAAGCTCTTCTGTTGCCCAAGAAATACGCAACAGCGTGAAAACAAGAACAAGAGCGCGTGATAAGCAGAGCAGCAGAAAGGGCAGACGAGAGAAAAACATTGCCCAAAAAAATAAAGAATCAGTAAAACTGTTGTACAACAGACGCGTCAAAATTTACGCTTATCTGCGCCTCATTTGCCGCCAACAAAGCCTCATCAATTTCAAAGGCGACCCTCAGCCTCAGCAACAGCAGCAATAGCCATAGCGGCAGATGATTGGACCGTGCGTCGACAAAAATCACATCACAAAATGCTTGACAAACAGCCGCCGAGAGCGGCCTCTGTGACATGCGGCAGTGCAGAAATGACAGTGCCGCCCAAAGTTCACTCAACTTTCAACTTGTAATTTGTCATTGTGCCACACAGCCATGAAACGCCTGCCACCCAGCAGCTCCCAGCGAGAGTGGCCAAAACAGTTGGCAAAGTGGCCGACACTGGTCGCGACAGGCACTGGAAAATTGTCAAATGAAAAAAGCAGAGGCGCATAATAAATATTTAAATCAGGCACACAAATTAGCAACGGCACTACCGCCGGCCGGCCGGCCAGATGCAGAGCCCGTGCAACGTTGCGTCTACGCAATAAAATATATTTGACTTTCGCTCAACAAAAAGATTCGTCTGTCGCATTTTTGTGGAAATACACGATGTCGCATAAATAAGCCGCACCCGATGTGGGTGGTGATTAATTCGCCTATTGTTCTGCAAGATTGCGGACAAAAGTCCCCAAGGCGTGCATTGAACGCCTTGCATATGTTGCATATCAGTATATACCTACTATACTACTTGAATATTGCTCGTATCTTATGGGCACCCATTTCATCAAATAAAGTGTTTGACTAAGTTTTTTTAACATTTTCATACACTTGTATTTTACTCAACATAATCAAAATTCCAAAATAAAAACAAAGCTCATGACAATAGACAACAAAGTCTAATTTATTGGAATGGCATCAAACAAACAAAATAAAGCAAGACAACCCATAAATATTGAAAGGATCTGGTTCAGTGCGATTAGTGCGATAGCATATGCAGTCAAAGGAAGAAACAACCAATAGGAAATACAGTCCACATACAAATTAGAAAAGGAATTCTATACCAAGTGTAAATGAAAAGGAGCTGTAGAAAAAGAGAGTATATGTAGAAGACAATAAGTGTAGTTCTTAAGTAACAATTGGGTATAAAATAGGCAACATTTTCAATAATAATATTAGTTCAGCGTCATTTATTAAGGCCTTAACATCGAAATCGAAAATCGTATTAAAGGGTTTTGGCATA